GAACCGCCGGCCAGGGAAGAAGACAGGAATTGAAGAGACGCACCCCCAAGCTCTGGTTGCTCTCCTGTCTCCTGACGTCACCAAATTATTCAAGCGTCGTGTCTGGCAGAGAAGGAGCATCCACTGTGGACACTTCCCAAAATGTTTACGAGCGTTCGGACATCATTCATCCCCTCAGTGAGAAGTTACTGTGGCACCAAACTTCATTATATCTATCTGACTTAATCTTAATCTATATTATATCTATCTCTCAGGGTTACTCATATCGAGTAACCCTGATTGTCGCTCTGTCGTCTGCTCAAAATGCGCAGGACACTACAGCACGATCTTCCTCTCGCCGACAGTTCCGAACCACAGTAAATTGTAGGCGGCTCCGACGTGATTTAACATTAATGACTATCACGAAGAGATCGCCAGCGTGTTCGAGGTTTATAATGACTCCGTTGACTCCTTAAATATACAATTACTTTATTGTGACAACAGCTTGGAAAGAGATCAATAATAATGAGAACCAGGAAATGGATATGGGGCAAAAATTCAAAATTCTGTTCCCCTAACCGCTTATTAGACCATAGATACTCAATGAGCAATACCTGAATATAAACCCGTGTGGTATCGGTGGTCCCCCCCTTATGACCACGTTTATAATCATTGCCTGTGGATTCTTCCGTGCTTTTGCACGGGCTACAGACTGAGCAATGGTCAAAGGTCAAAGGATTAGTCAAAATCTCGTAGGTAAACCGGGGTTGGGCGGTCCGGTCAATCACCCAAAGTATTCTCGTAGGTATGAGTTAATAATGAGATTAACAGGACATCGAAGGGTGTGGGGAAAACTAAGCATAGGATGTGGCGATTCTGAGAAAACTTGCTGTAATTAATGTTCCTTCGTTAGTTTTAGGGAGAGGTGCGTTTCTCGGCCTTCGGTTGCTCCCTAAAATCCATCGGATCCTCCACCGTTTCGCCTACTTTTTGCCGTTGGCTCTTAGCTCCTCTGTTCTCTTGATGGGAAACAGACGTCAACAAGAGAAGCAGCGATATCGTTGTCTCGAGGTACCTCTTCCTGGCGTTACTTACGTTATTAGCTTTGACACTCTTCAAGCACACTTTTTAAGTATATTGAGATAATTTTAAATTATTCTTGCTGTTGGGTACGTAAATACCGAAGAAATGACGCATCATAATCTAAGAAACGCACTTAAGGAGAAATGAGAAGTAGAAAGGAAGTTCAGAATTGCTGATCGTGACATTGTATTTGAGACGGCAAGGATATTCGTTAGAAACTCAAAGATCTCCCAGAAACGGCATGGATGAAAGAAAATGAAATCACACACGGACAAAAATATCGCAAGGGCTGAAGCGGATTCAAAAGGGCAGAGAGTAAATTACCCAGCTCCCTTCTTCCATTTGCAGTAAGCGAGTTCGAGGACGAAGGCGAGGATGGCGAGGCCGAGACCGATGATCCAGGTGAGGAAAGCGCCTTGCAGCATGGTCAGGGTCAGGATCACGGTCGCCTTCGGAGGAGCGTCGTCGCCGAGGGATAAATCCTTCGAGGCCCCGAAGAACCGAACCATGCTGTCCGCCCACATCTTCTCGAAGAGACCGGCTTGTCGCAGTCGCTGCAGCAACCGGTCCACAGGGAGCTTCAGCACGCTTCTGTCCCGAAAGGCGAGACCGATGTTCGTGCAGAGAAATCCCTCCTTGGCGACGCGGAATTTTTCTCGTCCCACCTGGACCCTGTAATTTCCGAGATCTCGCAACCGATCGATGAAGGCGAATCGATCACCCCGCTTCAAGAATTCCTCTTCGATCGGCAGAATCATTGCTGTGAGCCACGCTCCTGTCGCATTCAACCAGGTCATTCTCCGATTCAACTGCTGAAATATAGGATAATCGGAATTTCGGATGATGTCGTCGCTGCCCTCGCCCCAGAACACTTTCCCGTAGGGCAGTCCACTGGATATGAGATCATTCACCGAGTCGATCGGTTTTTCTCTGGGAGGGGAGCTGAGAAAAGACACAAGACTGGACATGTACGCTGTGGTCATCACGATGGCGAACAAACTGAAGAAACCCCAGAACACTCTGGAACCTTGACCGTGAAGGACGGGTTCGTTGCTTTCCGCCAATAAAGGCTGAAGGACGTCGACGAGAGAACGATCGAAACCGGTCCGCTGATTCCGTCCCCGAAATAGGAGCCAAATGTTATTGATAGTCCACATGATCAGACCAGATACGATTCCGCACAGGAAGATCAGACCCCATACATTCGGTGTGAAAGGTTTGAACACGGCTGTCCATAAAGGTATAGTACTGGTTGGTCGGGTCAGGATACCAAGGCAATCGGAGGTAAAGGGATAAGAGAAATCCACGTATTCTTCCAACTCTCGGGTCTGGAAAATCCCCGACATGGCGATATCGGCGCGGCCATCTAAAATCATCGCGATTATACCGATCGCCTTCCCGGTATCGTCCCACTGTAGTCCCCATATCTGTTCCGGGCAGTCCTCCAGTCGATAGGTGAAGTTGAGTTTCTTGGACACCATTGAGAGGATTCGGGTTTCGAAGCCGTCTCGAGTGACGTTTTTCAAATACCTGGTGTCGTTCTTCACTCCCCAATCAAAAATGATGTACGGCTTGTATTCGAGGACGGCAGTCGTGAACTCTTCACCTTGGAAGTCCTTGACCTCGTCTTGGAATAGGTGAGCCGATAATTCCGATGCCTGGGAAATCTCACAGAAGTTGTTGACCGGCTGTCCACGACACAGGATCACTCGATCATATTCAATCGCATAGATCCGCGATTTCGCAAGTTCGTCCAGTTTTAAGTTCGCGATTTTCCCATCAACTAACTTCCCTTCGCTTTCTGAAGTGACGTTTAAAATGAAATAGTCTTGCGGAGTGATAATAGACTGCAGTATGGTGCCGATAACGCCACTCTCCAGACAGGGAACCCCAGCGAAAAAGATCCGGCATCGGTCGCCAATCCACGAGGAATTTTCGAGTCTGAGATCGTGGACCTCGTGTGCACAATCCAACGCGGCATCCTCCACCCCACAGAGGAACAGACTCGGGACGCATTGCTTCGGCACCCAATCACAAATGTCGCTCAAAGTGAAGCGGAGGACGCAAACAAGGAGAAACGTCTTCACGACCGACTGCATCGCGACCCGTCGTAGCGAAACGGCGCCGTGACGGGAGAATGAGACCCCCCAACCGGAATTCAATAAGGTATGATCGTTGGAGAACAATAGGAGCCAATGTTGAATGGGGAGCTCCAAATTACCTACTTTAATGCTCCAGAGATCATAAATATTCATTCGTAATTCAGACGCGACAATGGGTGTCCACTTGAACCCTATATTCGGCAAGACATTATTCTTCCTCTCTCTAGTTATTATGACTTTCCTCTTCTATATGGATCTCAATGACAAACAAATTCAATAGTATCCACGAACGTTCGGAGGACATAATTATACCATTAATATTGAGCAATGCATTTACATTTGTCTCTGACACTTAGTTGCTGTAATGACTAGGTGTACCATTAAGAGAATCCATTTTACGTCAACATGGATATATAGGCTAAAAACGTTCTACCGTTTTCTATTGGAGAAACACAGTTTCATTAATGCAAAAAAAAATTAGACATGGGATACGCGATCGATATTGGACAGTTACAAGGTGTTGAAATGCATGTCAGCTTTTTGTCAGCACCCCTGCCTTAGTTGTGCAACGCCCATTTAGAGGTGAATGAAAGGTGCTTAGAGGTGGAATGATTCACCTGTGCTCGACCGTCTCGGAATTCGATAATATTGGGCAAACGGTCGAATTATTTTGAGAATAGCCCACATGCACAAAGTCTGTACTTTGAGCGTAGGCAAAGAAAGATGAGTTTTAATTTGATGGGGTTGGGGGCACAAAATTGTCCTCATCCTCCAGATGCCAAATTTCTGACTACACGGTTATTATAATGTCACCACCTTATTTTGATTGGCTATAACTTTTCAAGGGACAGTTGGATGCAGCTGATACTTGACAGGGAGGTTCATGAGTCTAAGGTTTTTTCACATCTGCAAGATGGCGCTGTATGCCTTCAAGGATATTGTATCTGAATGCAATAATCCCCTGGCGGTTCGGTGATGGCAAGTGGAGTGTGGTGGGCCACCAGCTCTCTTCCCATAAAGGTGGAATCAATATGATGATTCAAAAAAATACTAACTATTGAGGTTATGAATGGGAACAGAGAAGTGTTGATCCTCTGATTGCCGAGGATTTAAATACCCAGCCAACTTCTCCTTGCCTAGTATGGCAGAGGTGGCACGTCGCACTGAACACGCCATATGGTGTGAATGGCAATGAAAATTTTAAGAGAGTGATGCCCATTCCGATATTAACTAACCCAGCCATTATACATCACAACTCTGTTGTGTTTAAGTGTCCAATATCTTGGCGTCCCGAATGTGATGGAGAAAAAGTGAGATATGGGCCATCTAATGGCCTACCTTGACATGAGACGATTGAGGTCCATTATCCCCTACGTTTGGTAACATTTTGAACTCAATGCATTTCAGTTATTGACAACACTTTGGCAATTTACAACCAACATGAAACAGTCAAGCCTAAATGGTAATTCATGTATTGGTACAGTACTTTTTTCCCATGGAATCTTGTGGAATTTTCTATTATAAGCACTCATTAGCATATTGAACTTAGCACATTGATAGCTCTCACATGATCATGAGCTGAGATAACTACCCAAGTAGCTGAAGACTGACTACCTCAAAGAATCAACAAATCTAGATGAAGTGAGTGGCATAGTTAAAAATATATATTTTATATACCATGTTTTGCAACACAATTGACAATCGTTTCCTAATGACTGAAATTTTAACTGAAAAGTGACAGTGTTGACACCAACAGAGTTTAACTCTAAAATCACAGGTAATGAATTCATGCAAGGACTACAAAATAATTCAAGCTTGCAAAGTCACATGATTGCCTCAGAACTTGATTTTGTAAAGAGGGCAGTCTCTTCTCTTGGAACAACGAGCTGCATGAAGGAGTTCAAGTCTCCGCTTATTGAGGAGCCCAGACTTCATGTGTCGTATGTCCTCCAACAGTTTATCAGAGTAAGCTCCAGGTCTTCTCTTCATCATTCGGAAAAATGCATCATATGCAAGGAAGAGAATTGAAGATTTTCTCAAGGAGAATGGCACCACAAGTGGGCATGTTCCATCTGGAGGAATCTGGAAAATTGAGTTCATTTGAAATTTTACTGTAGGATTGTGACAGTTACAGAGACTCAAAAGAGTCAGGAATCATAGAATTATTAAGGATATATTCTGCTTAAATTTTATTAAATTCACCTCCTTCTCTGATGGGAAACTGTAATGCCACGGTTATGAATAAGAGGTTTCAGTTTACAAAATAAAGAGAAGAGCAAGAGTAGTAATTGACAACAAAAATGATAGGCCGGCTAAAAAAACATAAGGTGTAAATTTAAGCCTGTCCTTGACCAGCCTGCACTATCAATTAGTCTTGACTCAAGACTCTTGAATCTACATGAAGAAAAACAGCAAAATCAGGTCATACCCAACATATTTGAAATACAATATCAATCATATGTGTGCTTGAAATTTGGAGTTGACTGCAGCATGGCTATTTCATATTTTAAAGAACAATACAGCAATGTTGTAGATACACTTAAAGGAGGCTCATTAGAAGAATGGCCATAGACTTGGTTAGCATATTTATCCAGAAGTGTGTAGGTCAAAAGGAAATACCTGATAAGAATGAAAAACTGTCCATGAAATATATTAATAGTAATGTGAAAGATATGAAAAGAAGGTATAACTTGCCTTGTTGTACAGCTTCTTGCAAAATCGAAGGAACCGATAGACACACCGCCTGATGACTCCTTTGATGAAGAGGTAGTTATGAATGGAAAGGGCTTGGGAAAGTGCATGAGCCTTGTATGCCAGCAATAACAGGGAATGATAAACACTCCAGGGTAGCTTTCCATTGCTTATCACCTGAAGCATATTGAACTTTAAGGTTGCATAGAACAGCAATCTCCTCTCAAAGAACCTGTGATTAAAGAGTGTGATGATTGCACATTATCTTGTTCCAAAACTGGTACAGAACTCAGAATTTTCACAAATTCTAAATAAAAAATTCACTTACTCTCCAGACTTCCCACCATGCTGGATTGACATAGTGTATATCAGGTGAGAAGAGTGATAGTTCCCAAAATCAGGGGTGGCATCCAATGTACAGGCGTCAATGAGAGAGCCACAAACCCGAAAGCAGTCTGCATGATTCCCAATTCCTTCCACATTGGAAAATGTCTTCACTTGTGTAAGAATCAGATTGTATCTTGCCAGACCCTCCTTCAGGGATGTATAGAACCTGATGAAAGCTTCATTGAGCAAAACTGGCAATTGCAATATGATTTCAGCTTAGGATTTACTAAAGCTGTTCTATTGAAAGTAACAGATTTCAATATTATCAAGTATTCTAGGCCCTTTAAATGCTTACAAGAAAGAGCTCTTGAAACCTTTGTTCCTCATAGTTCACAACTGGGAAGAAAGACAAAGAATGTCATGAGCAAATATTGAAAGAAACAGAAACATCCTGAAAAGGAAAACAACAAAAACATTTAATTCACCCTCATAATTCAAATAATTCACTATTAATCCAACTTACCTCTCCAACCACCTGTGATCCTAACTGATAAGATAATGAAGAATTTGCTTCTCAGCTAGTCCATGTGAAAGTAAGGGATTTCTCCAGTTTTTTTTATATGGAGATTCCAGCTCTTCTTGGAAATTCTACATTTCTCAGTACCAATTTTGAAAAAAAAAAGGACTTTGAAAGCATAGCACTAAGAAAAAAACATGTATATACTGTTAGGGGTAGAAGTTAAACAGACCCAAGAATTATGTGAGACTTGAGCACATCTCAATGGTGTGAATCTTTTCTTCCATCTATGAAATTACATTCTATCACCTGAAATGGTTCTTTCCACACTTAAAGTAATTAAGCACATAGTCAGGGTTTTGGCATGTTCCATCATTCAAAGATTTATGAATCCAGTTTCTGCAAATACAAATTGTAAAACTTAAATTTAAAAACTCAATTTCCAGCTAAATTCATAATCTACAGGTGAAATTCCCAACACCAGATATGTGACCATCATATTCCAACAAATTGATTTAAATGGTGTATGAGTCACATCAATCTGATTAGCTAAAAAATCCAACTCTGAATCAACATAACCCATTCCCATCCATTGACATTCTAATATGCACATATTCTCATGGGTAATATCACCACTGACGTATGATTTCATACAATGTATAGTGTATGACTACAAATTATGATGTAACTTCTTTTTCATTGTAGCCTAAATGATACTTGAGTAATGTATATATTTTTTGAAAGGCTAACATACAATTCAAATCCCTTGTAAAAGTGGCTGGTGACCTTGTGCATTGAAAAATCAAGCAAATAGATGCAAATGCTCTAATATGTAGTTCAAATTTTCAAATGTAAGCCAACCTTAAGACTGTCTCCTGTGAAGTAGAGGCAAAGATGATATCATCTGTAAACCTGATGAGGAGATCCAGGTGTGAGACATGACTGGAAATATTTTGGAGAATGAATCCATAGTAGATGTCACAAAGAATTTTTGATAGAGAGCTTCCACCTTGCAGAACTCCCATTTTTACCAAGCACATTCTTGTGTTTCGAAATTTCACATACTGCTTTGTCACAAGATCTTTGACAAACTCAAGAACCTCTCTCCTTGGAATACTCTCCTTTGCCACTGCTCCATATCTGGCTACCTTTGCCTCACTTTTCTGAAAAATGATTCCAATGTGTCGAGGGAGATGAACTTCAGCAAGCTTGTTCAGAATGTTCAAGAGCCCTACATGCTCCATGGATCCATATGCATCAAGAATGTCTGCCTGAAGGAAGAAATAAGGGCAACTTTTCTGCATCCTTGCTATCTTCCACACCAAACCTGATATTGTGATGGAGGTGTATCTAGCACTTGCAGCAAGATGTTTCAGAACAGCCAATGCGATCTTCATCTTTTTTAGAAACAGAACTTTATTTGTTCCAAGAGAGGCTACTGGTCTTACGCCATGGTTTCGAGGCAGCAGACGGATTGAAGCCACAGGGGGAAAGGTTTCAGGTTCCACCTCCGTGCCATCCACTTCTTCCAATTTTCCCAAGTGGATTTCATAATTGATATACCGATCTTGAACAGATCCCCAAAATGATTTTCGGAAGAAAGTTTTCTTAAAATTCATGCTTGAGTTCTCTGTAACATAGAAAAAGCTCTGTATGATTCCAAGCACATACTTTGATATCCACCAAGAGAGGACCTTTGCAAGTAAGCACTCTTTACTGCAGTCTGTCTCCATTGCCCTCAGCCACTTGAAATCACCTAATTTCAAGCCTGTTATTAGCCAATTGAGGTTCACTGAGTCTTTCATGCCCATGTTGAGAATGAAATGAACTTTCTTCAGAAGCACATCACTTGTTTTCTGTTTTCCTAAAAGGCCCAGAGGAACAACTTCCTGAATGCATGTTTTGATTAATAAATACACAGATTCTATGGATGTTGCACCCCTCAAAGTGGAATGGGTGTATGATCTAAGGGGGCAGAATTTACTCAAAGTTTCCTTGTATGGAAACTTGAAGTGATTGTCAACAAATTTCTGAAGAAGTTCATCCAGCATATCAGTAGAAGACTCAGCCTTACATGATCCCACATCATATTCCAAGATAGTAGCTTTCCAGGATTCCCCTGTTATGAAACCATGTTCAATATCTTGTTTGGATAGAACCCTAGAGTAGGCAAAGCTTTCACTTGGACTCGAAGAATAGTACATGGTCTGCACGTTAAGTGCAAAATGGGGATCAAATCCTCTCATTGTTGCAATTAGGATGATTCACATGTGTGCTCCTGCAAGACAAAGAGAGAAAGAGGAACACTGATGCAATGTGTCTTCATAGGTATCTCAAAATGAACAGGTAAGAACACACATAAAGGAGAGTAATGACAATAACACATCAGATGCTATTGTATCAAATAAGGTAAAATGCTAGAAACTATTAGTCAAGATAGGCCTATTATCAGTAGTTCATTCAGTAAATAAATGGATCATGGTTTTGGTTTTTCCCTTCACAATCGCCAAGGTGCTACATGAAGTATATGCACACCAATTACCCTCATTACATCCCCAGATTATCATTCCAAGTCCTTCACAAGAGCATTGGAGCTTCATCAGAGCTGTCACAACAAGTCTGAGTGCTTCATATGCAATATGTGGAGTTAATTATCCTAAAACATCCCACATATGCTAGGCTTAAGTTGAATAGACATTAGAACAAGGAGGAAATAAAAGGAAGGATCTTCCTAATCAGGCATGGCTATGCAAGTAAAATTTAATATAATGCTTTGAATTATCACAATGAGGCCCTGATGCAGTTATCCCACATCAGCACCAATTTTAAAGAAGTTCCTTCCACAATAAGCAAAATCAAAATCAATATCTAAATGAAATCCAACAACAATCTTGACCTCCACTGCTTAAATTGAACACCTGTTGACAGATATAGACCCTGAACATTGTCACAAGGTAGCTAATAATTGTGTGGATTTATTCATAGAAGGGACTATTGTGTAGTGGGTTAAATCTCATGCATGAAGGAAAGAAATTAAAAATGGCTACCAGAATGCCCATGCCCAAAGTGAACAAGCAAAGGGCTGATTACCTGATGAATATTAGTTAATTTTTTTACGATTTTGCTAATAGCCAATTTTTCCTACCTCCAGTCAATAATGAACATTGTATTGTCACAATCATTCCTAATGACAAGGTAATTTTCAAATTATTGGTTGATAAATGTTGAATGTATTGTATGGCAGTACTATTGCAAAATTACTGGTGTTCCACATCTTTGAATTGTTTATCTACCATCTTGATACAATTGGCAGCCTACCAACTCTGTCATGGGGCATTTCTTTGGCAGGGGTAGTGCTCCCCATCTTTCGCACGGTCCTCAGGACAGTCAAAAGTGAAACAGAAGTGCTCTGAAACTTGGCGTTTCCCAATGCATATGGTGTCGTGATTGTAGGCCTATGAAAATGAAAATTTAGATCGTGATTCAAGTTCAAAACAGTCATGCCTGCTTTTCTGCAAGACCCTCAACGAATCCTTTCTTTTGAGGGCTCCTCCTGACGTAGGCCCACCTGAGGCCTAGGCCTTATAACCCGATCACTTCAACCACACCCCATCCACTGCGGACAATTGAAATAAGGGCAATGCCATACCTACCTTTATCATTACAAATCCACGCTTAGTTCTCCTTTATATCCCAGCCTGTTTTGGTCTTTTTGGAAGGAGTTAGCCAACAGCGAAACTTTTCCCATAGCGTTAATCCGAATGCAAAGAGGGAGCGGTACAGGAGGGCGCCATGTTGCATTATGGAGGCTTCAGATCAGACCTCATGCAGTCATTGCACGAGCTACGTTCGCGTGAACGAGATGCGCCGTGGACCCGCTCCCGGTACTTACTGGACTCCATCAGGGTTGAGTTCTCTCTCCTTTCCTGCACAGCAAAGCAGAAACGTATAGTGAGGTATATATTTTGTAATTACGTTATGAGGTACAAACGTATGTCATAAAACACGTTCGTCGAAAAGGTACTGAAGCAAAATAAGGTAAAAATGTATACCCTTATCTTTATTCAAAAGGAGCGGATGGGAGTCTTTTCTTTGGAGACCCATTTTACCCGGTTCGGGCTTAAGGGCGTATGGAAGATCAGCATATCTCAATCTTCAACTCTGAGAAGCTTTGAAGCCAGCTTTAGTGAACGCAAACCGCAACCTCCGGCACCAAGTCTCCGTCAGCGAACAGTCCCAGATAAGGAACCGAGACGGCAACGAACTCGACGACGCCCACTCGAGGACCGCAGGGCTGTCTCACTGACGGTGCCCTCTCCAGTTGTCACGGCTACAGTGAGCTACGAATCCAGACCATTCAGAACGACAGTCTTTCAAACTTATTGAAAGTTGACCGCTCCGTCGTTCGAGTGTAAAAATTCCTAAGCTGTCAGTTTACACTTCTCTGTCCTCGTGCAAAACCGGAGCCTTTAAAATTTTCAAAAATCTTTGATTGTCACTGAAACACCCCAGATAACATTTTTCGTGAGGCCCACGTTGGCCCAACGTTGGCAGTAAGTTGGATAGTAACGTATAACCCACTTACCCAAGTGCCTGGTTTTTGCTCTGTCATCATTTCATACCATATACGTAGATTCCCTATCCAGTGAAGGTATTCCCATCTCTAGTACGGACCCTGATCTATGTACTACAACCTGCCAAGGACATGTATACATATCCTGATAG